ATCTCTGTTCCGGAATAAAAAAGACAAATGTAATATCACAACCAAATGCAATGCATGAATCATGACTGGCTTCTGGTTTGAGAGATGGGATGAAGGTGACAGGGAGATGGATACAAAAGACTTTCTTGGGGATGTTGCTCTAGACCAGATGTTGAACACCTCAACCAGGGCAACTGGTAGCAGCAGTATCAAGGGGGGAGACGGAAAAGTGGAAGGTATTTAAGAGTTAAAATTGGCTGGGCGCGGTGGCTCACGTCTGTTATCCCAGCACTTTGGGAGGCTGAGGTAGGTGGATCACGAGGTCAGGAGATCGAGACCATCCTGGCTAACATGGTGAAACCCCGTCTCTACTAAAAATACAAAAACTTAGCCAGGCGTAGTGGCACGCGCCTGTAATCCCAGTTACTCGGGAGGCTGAGGCAGGAAAATGGCGTGAACCCAGGAGTCAGAGCTTGCAGTGAGCCGAGATCGTGCCACTGCACTCCAGCCTGGGTGACAGAGTGAGACTCCATCTCAAAAAAAATAAAAAAAATAAAAAAGAGTTAAAATCAGCAGAGTACAGTAACCCTGTGAGACATACAGGAGAGGGAAGAGTAAAGCATGATTTCAAGGTTTCTAGATGGGCGACTGGATGAATGGGGGCGGCAACTATTTGAGCAAAGGAATGCAGGAGGAGGAAGTGGTATGGGGGCAACACAAAGAGTTCAAGTTTGGACATACTGAGTTTTGAGGGGCCCAACATCAACTGAAGACTTCCAGAAGAGGACCTAAAATATGGGGAGATCTGAAACAAAGCCTTGGGAGGGAACAAAAAGGTTTGCATTTGACATTCAGAAGATCAGTGACTTCAGCAATAGAGTTATTTTAGTCAAGTGAGCAGAAGCCAGATTATGAGACACTGATGTAATACATTAAAGACTGCAAGTACAGACCATTCCTTCAATAATACTGAAAGGCGGGAGGGAGAAATTCTGTAATAGCCTCAAAAGACTATGGGGATTTTGCCGGGCATGGTGGCTCACGCCTCTAATCCCAGCAGTTTCGGAGGCCAAGGCAGGCAGACAGCTTGAGCTCAGGAGTTCAAGATCAGCCTGGGCAACATGGCAAAATCCCGTCTCTCTACAAACCACACAAAAATTCACCAGGCGTGGTGGCAAACGTCTGTAGTCCCAGCTACTCAGAGAGACTGACTGAAGTGGGAGGATCACTTGAGCCGGGAGGTTGAGGCTGTAGTGAGCCGTGTTCATGCCACTGCACTCCAGCCTGGGTGACAAAGTGAGACCCTGTCTTCTCAAAAAAAAAAAAAAAAAAAAAAAAAGAAAGAAAGAAAAAAAAAGAGTATGGAGACTTAACGAAATTTTTTTTTAAGGATAGAGAAGATATGAGTTTGTTTATCATCCAAGGGGAAGGTGCAAGTTCCAAGCAAGCAGAAGCTGCAAGACAGCAAGGATGTACACCGTGCTAAAAGCCCAATGCAAGAGCACAGATGGATGGAACGGACAGCATTTTAACCTTTAAACATTTCCAGAAACTTTAATGTTAACATTTTTGGTTAAAACATCCCAATTACTGGTCATTCACCATTATGCCTCAAATGTCTTCTTCTTTAAAAAAAATAACTATTTCAAACATAGAAAAGTCCATAAAAGAGTAATATAAAATATACCCATACACCTTAAAAAATACATTACTAGTATGGCAGAAAAAACTCATATTCTCTCTCTTTCCTTCCCCAGTGGGTATACCAGTGGTAATCACTCATGTAAATCTTTATATCTTACTACATTTGAATTCATTCCCTAAGCAATACATAGTGTTCTATATGCTTTATATTTTATATAAACGCTAGCATACTCTGAACAAGCAAGCAAGCAATACATTCTTGGGACAACTAGCAAAAATGTGGACACAAACTATTAGAAGATATTGTTGTTGTTCTTTTACTTAGCAGTGATAATGGTATTGTGGTTGTACAGGAGACTATGCTTATTCTTAGGATAACTACCTGTGAAGTATTAAAGTTGAAGTGTCAGTGTTTGCAACTTACTTTTAAGTGGTTCAACAATAATGTGCACATGTATGCATATATGAGACAGAGAAAGAGATGTATGTCAAGATGGGACAATGTTAACCACCACCAGATTTGGGTGGAGGGTATATGAGTGTTCACGATTCTAGTCTTCTTAACTTTTCTGTATGGATCATGTCAGGTGGATAAAAAATGGGATAGAACACTTTGGCCTATAAGAACAATATTGCTCCTGTTGAGCCTACTGGTCCCCCCAAAGCCTTCACTCTCATTACATGGTTTGTGGGCCCCCATATTAAAGAGTTATTTCACCCCTTTGGGCTCTAAGTGGTCAACTGCAAAAAAGAGGTCTTAAGTCTCAAATTAAACCATCAATAAATGTCTAAGGCCCAGCCCCAAACTGGCAGCCCAGGGCTAGTCTGCAGAGTTGTCTAGTTTGACTAGCACAGGATTCTAAAAAAATTAAAAACGAGAACATAAAAAAGCCAAATACAAATGGATCAAACAAAACAAAACAAAACAAAACAAAAAACCAAGCTAACATTACGTTTCCCCAATTCTGAACTACATGTAGTTCACAACAAAGAATGCTCATGTTTCCGGGCTACTGTGCACGCTGTTTATACTATCTAGTACCCGGTTCTTCACTGCCCTCTAGGCTACTTCCTAATCTGTAAAATGAAGATGATACTATCTACTCTGTAAAAGAAGCATTAAGTAAGTTAGTAGTGTGTGGGCACAGTAAGCACTCCATAAGGATTAGCCACTATATCGTTATTAATATTAATAATTTGGTAGGAGCTGGATATACCTAACTCATAAGAAGCCTTCACTGACTCTCCTGGTCTATTTTGCAAGCTAAAGTTTCTATTACCAATCCTAGTAACACCTAGAAAGATGTTTTAATGTAAATATGTAAAATATGCTGGTAAGTGGGGATTCACAAATTTTTTAAGAGAAAAAAATACAAATCTGGCTCTTCTTTGGAATGCCTTGGTTTCATCATCTGCATTTTCTAGTTGTTTTTTGAGATTGAATCCAGGCTTCAGTTAGATTGCTGCACCCTCCTCACTTCCAACTTAGCCTCCACATCAATGCAGTCCACCCTGGTAAAATTCTTTTAGAAACAGGCAGGATGTTTTTCCTTCTCAGCCTTTTTTTGAAGACTTCTTCCTATGCCCACACCTGAGGCCTTCTTCTCATCTGAATGCACACTTGTAACACTTTTGGTATTTTTGACTCAGAGTTATTTTTGAGAAGCAAGATTCTTACACTTCTGTTGTTTCCATTTCAAAAACAGGTACCTTTCATTTCCCCAAGTGAAAAGGCATATTTGACATATTTTCTAAATATACTATCCCACTTCACTGTTTTGTTCAGTGCCATTCCACCTTGCTTAGCTCACAGCAGGTACTCCATCATTTGTTGTATAACTAACCTCTCCCCAAGTTTTTAACTGCATTTTTCATCATGCTGATGACCAATACATTTACTTCCAACCTGACTTCCCAGGTGAACTTCAAATTACTAATTGCCTACTACTTGGCACTAGATCTAGTATGTCTAAACCAAACTCTTCTTGAGAAGTGCAGGTCCTTCTATAAGAGTTATTAGGAAGATAATTTATTCGGCACCTAGATATCAGGCATTAATCTAGCTCCTTTAATAACATGCCATATAATTAAGTCCCCACAGCAACCTTATAGGGTTGGGTACTACTGTTTTACAGATTAGCAAAGAAGGTCAGATGTGTTATAAGGCTAAGCTCACACAGGTAATAAGGTGCTGGGAAATTAGGGAGTAAATATTAACTCAGGACAATGACTTAAATTTGTATCCTTTCCAATAACAATGTGCCTATGCTAGAAAACTCACATTTGTGTCCTCTTCCTCATTACCTATCACATCTTGTACGGTGCCAAAGCACAGCATGGTGGTTACGAGCACAGCTTTGGAATCAGACAGATCTTGATGTGAGTCCAGGATCTGCTACTTATTCACTGTGAATACCATAATATATTACAATGTACAGAGCAGCTCTTGGTATATAAAAGAGAGCACAGGTGTAGAAAGTGAGTACAACCTGGGACAGTTAGGAAAGACTGCTCAGGCACATGGAGCAATTAAGTAACCTGCCCAAAGTCACACAAACTGGGATATGGGGGCACCAGGATGCAAGGCCACAGACTGATTCTAGACTTCCTTCTTTATCAGTATGCTACACTGCCTCTAGAATTGTATTTTTGTATGGGTACCTTGATTGCCCCCTCAACCCTAGCACCTAATTCTCTATCTGGCTTGTGGTAGAACTTTAAAATAGTTGGATAAATGAATGAATGGACAGACTAATAGACCATCAAAACTTTCCAGAACATGTTGAAACAAACTGGGCTTTGAGAAAACCTGTAATCACATACTAGATTTATTTTCTGCCTCACAATCACTACCAAGCTCAGAGAAGTCACTCTGAGGCAAATAACTGAATGCATTTCCTCTGTTTGAATATAATTTCCATGAGTGCCAGTCTTTTTATGGCATGTGGTAACTGAGTGAGCTTGGGCAAGTTATTTAATGTCTTGGTGTGTCAGCTGCCTCTACTGAAAGTGGAGGTTAAGAACTCTGTCTCACAACGTTGTTGAACACTAAATTGCAATAATATGTACAACTGCTCAGGGCCTGGGGGGAAGGGTGCTCAATTTTAGCTACAGTCTTACAGTCAACTTTAGCTATAAGCTCCTTATTAAAATGGGCAGAACCTGAAGGGAGAATAAGTAAAATAATCATTTTAAAGTAGGTAACTTACAGGAAATATTTTAAGATTCCCCATTCATAACTCCCTATAAAGAACTCTTATATTAAAATCCAGATACTGATGAATACCAATACATCACCAAAAAGCTACAAATTTATTAACTTGCTATACAGCTAATGATGATAAGGTGTGAGTCTCGTAAGAAATGCCTTCTCTCACCTGACTGGTTTTTGCTGTTCTGCACCTCTCCGTTATTTTGTGGCTGTTGATTTGTTAAAGCACTGCTTTCTGACTGGCTGTTTAACACTTTAACAGCAGATCCAAGGTTTGCTGCTATGACAGGAAAATGCTGACCCCTCTTTAGAAGCTGTTTGTGTTCCTGGTGGCGAAATCGTGGAGGTACTTCACGAGGATACCGAGGCAAGGCCTGTGGCTGCTGCTGTGGCTGCTGCGGCTGTGGCTGCTGCTGCGGCTGCTGCTGCTGCTGCTGCTGCTGTGGCTGCTGCTGCTGCTGCTGCTGCTGCTGCGGCGGCTGCTGCTGTGGCTGCTGATTGTTGGCTGTAGCTCGCTTGGCATTATTATTAGTGCTGGTTGCTGTGGAAGTGCCGTTATTAGAGTTGGCAGGCTGAGGCTGGCTTACACTGGGCTTTATCTGTTCTGGCACTAATCCCAACAAAAGAAAAGGGGTGGAAAACATTAGCCAGTAAAGGGTACCTCCAAAGTAAGCCATCTAAATTCAAAGGCACTAAGAAAAATAATCCTAAAAAAAAACAGAGGCTTTCCGTGAGCAGGGATATCCTCATTTACAGGCTCAAATTTTGTTAGGAGATATCACTGCCAAGAGTCAAATTTCACTTCTGCTAACTACCTATCCAATAAGGGCCCAAGGACTTTTGGCCAAGACAACAACTCATGTTCACTATCCCCTTTCCCACATTATACTCTGGTCAAAGACATCATCTGATCATTACAAAACCAGCGAACTTGCAATGACTCAAAGAACAAATGTGGCCAATTTTCAGTAGTCCTAAGAGAATCCTCTATTCCCTGGCAACTGTTCTTATTCTGCCTCATTGTTAATGTGTTTGGTCTCTATTTTTCATCTTTAGAAGACAACACAAGAACAACACAAGGTTAGAAAACAACCTGCTGGTTTTCTTACAAAAAGCCAAAGTTAACAATGTAAAAATGTAAAATCTGAATCGTATAAGACAAACTCAGAACATGGAAGTAAAGACAAAGATAACATATCTATGAGATGAATCAAAATGAGAGAAATAATCTGGATGCTTTATCTTAAATCTGAAAAATAAATCAGAAACTGCAAATAGGGAAACTGTTGACTCATAAAAGAGTGTAAAGAAAGAAAACCGATGGAAATGCCTTAAGCCAGTGTAAGTAAACCCAGCTGGAGAAGTACAGAGACGCATGGTGTATGAGCTTTTGGTGCCAGGTTTCAACCCCAGCTCTGCCTTTACAAGCTTTGTGCCTTTGGGCAAGTTGTATAAACCTAACTGAGCCTGCTGTTTTCCCGGTAAAATGGAGATAGTACCTACACCTTGCAGAGCTATCCTAAGGTTAAATGTCTTCATGTTTATAAAACACAGAACACAAGGCTATATAAACAGCGGCTATTCGTTAATGACTGACACAATACCACCTTATACTTTGGTAGCAGTTGAATGTTTCTATGAAATTTTTTAATGTATCCTCACAGATACCACTGTCAGATAAGTGAAGTGAAACACCCCCATGTTACTGGTGAGGACACTCAAAAAAAATCTCCATTCAAGCTCCCACCCTGGGATTAAAACAGCCCACCATTCACCATCTGAGTTACCTCTGTGTCTTTCTCCTCTATAAAGTAGGAACAGTCTTGGTCAAGTGCCCAGGGTGTTGTAACCACTCAGTAAACAGAAGTGAAGTTATTAATTATGTCCAAAAGAAATCTTTATCAAATGACTACAATAGATATGATGATGTCATTAAACCCTTGGTCACCTGAGTTTACAATGACCACCAACTTCCTCTTCCACACTCTCAGCTCTAGCCCCCCTCCACCTAAGAAACTGGTCTCCCCATTTTCTTCTTTCTCTGAACATCTGGTAAATTTACTCTATGTCATTTATACTTTTTAAACATAATATATGATCTTGGCCTCTTATTTTTTGTGTGTCACTTCAATTTTTCTGAAGTAATACGAACTGTAGTTCAGGAAGAATTACAGTGAAAAATTACAAACATTCCATCTACTGTTTATAATGCTTTCATTCTTGATGCTCACTGACAAGTCTCTTACTGATAATTGGGGCAAAGTGCTTTCTAGGCCTAATTATAGGTGAAAATTTTGTCTCCCAGACAACATAATGCTTCTAATATGTAACAATAACATTTTTTATTTATTTTGTGTGTGCCTCATGCAGTAATAAGCACATACTGGCTATCAAAAACACTTCATGAGGACAATATGGCACTAGAATATTCTAAAGTACCTCTGAAACCTAAGGAAGATAAAGTACAGGCAGCCCTCCACATCCATGTGTGCCCCACCCACAGATTCAACCAACCATGGATCAAAAATACTAAGCAAACAAACCAAAAATAAAAATACAAATAAACACCAATGCAACTATTTACACAGCATTTACATTATATTTGGTATTGTAAGTAATCTAGAGATGATTCAAAGTATATAGGAGAATGTGTGTAGGTTATATGCAAATACTACACCATTTTATATATGGGACTTGAACATCCATGAATTTTGGTATCTGTTGGGGGTCCTGGAACCAATGCGTCACAGATACCAAGGGACAACTGTACATGTAACATTGTAAGGAACATAAAAATGTTTACTTAGCTTTTACATGCTTAGTACTGGACTCAGCGTGGCATTTGGCAATTGAACACCCACTTAAGGTGGTAGCTACCTGCTGCTGTAATACAGGTTTGTTGCCACTTCATTACTTTAAAAATCTAAATATTAAAAAATAACACTGTGACAATTTTATGCCCAAACAAGGTGTGTGAGAAAGGAGCAGGAAGATGCTTTTTAATTATCAAAGAACCAGAAGATAACCTATATACAAAAACTGTGAATGATCTATATGAAGGCATGTATAAGAACCCTAACACTAAATCAAAGGTGACCAGAAGTTCAGAAGCAACACCAATATTTGTCACCCAGCAACTTCACCTCTACCTCAAACTCAAGTAACTGCTGTATTTCTCATCAGTAAAGTACCACGTGGAAAACAAAGCTGAGATAGGTATTCATTTCCGGGGCCAGAAAACTTCATTAAAACCACTAAAGACATCAAGATAATGTAACTATTGATTATTAAATGAAGCTAATCTGAAGTACAATCTTAGATATAAAATAAGACATAGAAGTAATGAGTGAAGGATTAAAAAGTGAACATAGGTGGGGGTTGCTAAGTAACAAATACCAACACTGACTAATACTGGCTATGGTGTAAATTATGTTCATAATCACCCAAACCATTGGAAGGGGGGGAAAAGGAAAATTAGAAAACTTCATCTATTCAGCAGACATGTAAAATGGAATTTAAAAAAATTTCAAAGTTCTGGTTAATGCAAACTAGGATGCTAAACAGAAGCCCCAAAATACCTGTATCACAATAAATGTGAATGGGTTAAGTTCACTTGCTAAAAGATAAAGCCTCTTAAACTAAGAAAGGAAAAACAAACTCAATAAACTTTGCAAAAAGCACTCTTAAACAAAACAACTCAGCAAGGTTTAAAAAACAGTAGAGAGGAAGATACACAACCAAGAAAGGCTAAGAAAATTAAAATGAAAACAATACTGATATCAGACAAAATAAAATTCAAAGAGAAAAGCATTATAAAGGATAAGATAAATTTCATATTCATAATAAAAGAAAAAACTAAAGACATGAGCAATTAAGCACTTTTATATGCCAAGTCTCATAATATCAAAACATGTAAAATAAATGGAGACAGAATAAACCAGAAAAAAGCAAAGCCATGTACCTTGAAAACAAGTAACATCTTTTTGACAAATACCCATGAAACAATCATAAGAAGTCAACATGCACATACATGCCATACAGCAGCAAAGAAAACATCAATAAATTGCAAAGGCTAGAAATAATACTGTGGATATTTCTGGATTACAACGTAATGTCACTAAAATCATAAAACTAGCAAATAAAAATCTGCCTTAAATTTCAATTGCATAACACAAATTTTTCAGCTAAAAACAGAAAAGAAAAAGAAAAAAGTACATTTCAAGATGAAGAATAAACATGAAACTACAGGGTTACCAAGAAAATAATACTGAAAACACTGCATACAATACATTTTGAGATCCAGCTAAACCAGAGCTCAAAAAAAAATTCACAGCCTTATTTCCAACAAGAACATAATGCATCCAACTCAAGAAGGGGGAAAACACCCACACACACTAAAGTAAACAGAAACAATTAGTAAACATAAAAGAGAGATCAATGACTTTAAAAGTAAATCAATAAATCCAAGGCATGCTGCTATGAAAAATAGTTAACTTTATTAAAAAATGAAAATGGAAAAAAATAACCTTCTGAAATTAATATATTTCTTTATGTTCAAGTCTATAAATATGAAAAGCTGGAGGAGGGAGTAATTTAACATTGACCATACAAGAGGCAGGAAATCTAAATAGATTAACTAGTTTACATAGAAGAAATAAGAGAAATTTATGAAAGTGTCTATCATGATCAGATAATTTCCCTGATTAATACTACCATACTTTTTTCTTTTTCACTAGTGTATACTTATTTTTGGAGACAAGAGTCTCGCTCTGTTGCCCGGGCTGGAATGCTGTGGCGCAATCTTGGCTTACTGCAACTTCCACCTCCCTGGTTCAAGTGATTCTCATGCCTCAGCCTGAGGAGTAGCTGGGATTACAGGTGTGTGCCACCACGCCCAGCTAATTTTTGTATTTTTAGTAGAGATGGGGTTTTGCCATGTTGGCCAGGCTGGTCTCAGGTGATCCTCCTGCCTCGGCCTCCCAAAGTGCTGGGAGCCACTGCACCCAGCCTTTAATAGTTTTTTTTTTTTTTTTTTTTTTTTTCTTTCTTAAAGACAGGGTTTTGCACTTGTTGCCCAGGCTGCAGTGCAATGGTGTGATCTTGGCTCACTGCAACCTCCGACTCCAGAGTCTTGCAACAGTAAGACCCTCTTTCAAGAAAAGAAAAAAGAAAAAGAAACATGTATCTCTAAACCTAATGGCATTTAAATTACTGCAGAGCACAGTAAAAGATGGAACACCAACATAACACTGTTACCAATAAGTCAGGCTAAATTTTGGTCATCCCAAACAACGTGAATAAAAACAAGAGATATAAATAGCACCGGGAGTGAAAAAGACAAAAATTCAAATGTGGAGATTATCAAAAGACAAGAAAATACTATGTACAATCTACCCCAGTAAAACAAAATCCAACTAAACTGAACTATGTTGTACAACAGGGGTTGGCAAGTTCTTTCTGTAAAGATGAGACAGTAAATATTTTGGCCTTTGCAGACCATAGAGTCTGTGACAACCACTCAACTCTGCCACTGTAGCACCAGAGCAGCCACAGACAACAGGTAAACGCAAACAAATGGATGTGACTATATTCCATAACACTGCATATGCA